GGACCTTAAGATCATCTAGTTCCAACCCCCCTGCCATGGGCAGGGACACCTCACACTAAACCATGTCAACCAGTGTTCAAGTCCAGCCTGGATGTGAACACTGCCGGGGATGGAGAATTCACAACCTCCCTGCGCAACCTATTCCACTGACTCACCACCCTTACAGTAAAGAACTTCTTCCTTATATCTAATCTAAACTTACCCTGTTTAAGTTTTAACACGTTACCCCTTGTCCTGTCACTACAGTCTCTAATGAAGAGTCCCTCCCCAGCATCCCTATAGGCCCCCTTCCGATACTGGAAGGCTGCTATGAGGTCTCCACGCAGCCTTCTCTTCTCCAGGCTGAACAGCTCCAACTTTCTCAGCCTGTCTTCATACGGGAGGTGCTCCAGTCCCCTGATCATCCTCGTGGCCCTTCTCTGGATTTGTTCCAACAGTTCCATGTCCTTCTTCGGCTGAGGACACCAGAACTGCACACAATACTCCAAGTGAGGTCTCACAAAAGCAGAGTAGAGGGGCAGGATCACCTCCTTCGACCTGCTGGCCACGCTCCTTTTGATGCAGCCCAGACACGGTTGGCTTTCTGGGCTGCGAGCACACACTGCCGGCCCATGTTCATTTTCTCATCAACCAACACCCCCAAGTCCTTCTCCGCAGGGCTGCTCTGAATCTCTTCTCTGCCCAAGCTGTAGCTGTGCCTGGGATTGCTCCCACCCAGGTGTAGGACCTTGCACTTGGCATGGTTAAACTTCATGAGGTTGGCATCAGCCCACCTCACAAGCATGTCGAGGTCCCTCTGGGTGGCATTTCTTCCCTCCAGGGTATCAACCGAACCACACAGCTTGGTGTCATTGGCAAACTTGCTGAGGGCACACTCAGTCCCACTGTCCATGTCAGTGATGAAGATGTTAAACAAGACCAGTCCCAACACCAATCTGTGAGGGACACCACTCGTTACTGGTCTCCAGACGGACATTGAGCCATTGACCACAACTCTTTGCGTGTGGCCATCCAGCCAGTTCTTTATCCACCGAGTGGTCCATCCATCAAATTGATGTCTCTCCAATTTAGAGACAAGGATGTCATGTGGGGCAGTGTCGAACGCTTTGCACAAGTCCAGGTAGATGACATCAACTGCTCTACCCCTGTCCATCAGTTCTGTAGCCCCATCATAGAAGGCCACCAAATTGGTCAGGCAGGATTTCCCCTTAGTGAAGCCATTTAATGCAAATCAGTTTCTGTTGCAATAATACCTGTTTCAAAGGGATGAACAACAGTCTTATTACAGCTTCATAATATAGATCCATACAATACAGGATTGCTATGTCAGCTGGTAAGCCTTAATAGTATGGATTCAAATAACCTTTATCAAATCTGTGTTGTAGTGCAGTATAACGTAGTTCAATTATTTGTACCTGGGAGCAAGGAAGTGCAGAAACAGCTCACACTCACAGGGGAACCACATTAAGCTTTGCAGGTGAATGCTGTATCTCTGAGCTAAGCAATGGTAGTCTTGAGGCTTTTCAGCCCCTAGCAGAGGTATCCAAACTGGTGTCTGGCTGCAGCAATACTGAACTCAGCACTGGCCCCCCAAACCACCTGAGAAGCATAGCGAAGTAGTTCATATCTACTTCCATGTATCTGCATTTAAAGATGAAGTTGCAAACAGGTGAGACAACTAAATACCTTGCTGCTACTGAAAATGGACTGCCCAGCCCTCTAAACTTCTTTTCTCACAACTGAATCTCAGCTGTTTTTTTTCCACCCATATCATCCCACCAGTTCCAGTTTTTACCAGATTTTACTTGGCTACTTCAGCTCACTAATGCAGTAGAGAACTGTCTTCTTTTTCTCCTCCCTTCTTTCCTGAGATTTTGACAAGGCAGTAACATAAACTGGTTTATTGCAGAGTTCTACTGAGTTGTAAAAGGTAAAACAGAGAAGTAATGACTGGCAGGGACAGTGAGTCACAAACCCACCCTGTACTCTCCTCCCTGAAAATGATAGCTCATGAGCATTTATAACAGCTATACAGATACAGCAGTATTCACATTCCTGATTGCTCTGCAAAAGCAAGACTTGATTTTAGTGCTGCAGGAGCACTGAATCTTACAAATAGCCAGACTATGATTTTCAAAAGTTGATAAAGCTCATTTTGCAATGTGGCCATTGACAAGACAGAAAAAGTAAAAAGAGGAGGCTGAATACAGTATCAGGAGATCTGGAAAATACCACTATTTGTATGCTCAGAGCAAAAGAACACAGATCTCACAACACATGAGATAAAGCTGGCACAAGATAAAGTATGGATAAACAGGGCACAATACAAAATGTAATAGAGGGATGATAGCTGTGGCTGCTGCTCTTTGTTTTTTCAAGTCCAGCCAAAACCCAAGCTGAGCACATACTGCAAAGATACAGATCCACACACAAAACTAACGTCATCACTCACACAGACAACACAAAGAGCAATGTCTTCACTGCTCATCACCCACATAACACAAACAGCAGCTCAAGTAACATGAGTGACATAATATTCTATTTGAATGTCTCAATTCCACCTGCTTCCCTACTCCCTTCCTGTTCAGGCTACAAAAATTGGCGACTTCCAGTGAGAAAGCCCTGGACTCTTCGGGGAATGAGAAAAGACTTGCAATGATGTGTAAGGTCCTGTACCTGGGTCAGGGCAATCCCAAGCACAGCTACAGGATGGGCGGAAACTGGATTGAGAGCAGGCCTGAGGAGAAGGACTTGGGGGTGCTGGTTGACGAGAAACTCAACATAAGCAGCAGTGTGCGTTTGCAGCCCAGAAACCAACCATGTCGTGGGCTGCATCAAAAGGAGCCTGATCAGCAGGTTGAGGGAGGTGATTCTTCCCCTCTACTCTGCTCTTGTGAGACCTCACCTGGAGTACTGCATTCAGCTCTGGGGCCCTCAGACAAGAGGGATGTGGACCAGCTTGAGCGAGTCCAGAGGAAGGCCATGAAAATATCAGAAGGCTGGAGCATTTCTCCTATGAAGACAATCTGAGAGATTTGGGGTTGAGAAAAAGAGAGAAGGCTCCAGGGAAACATTATAGCCTTACAGTACCTAAAGGGGGGCTACAGGAAAGCTGGAGAGGGACTTTTGACGAGGGTCCATAATGAAAGGACAAAGGGGAATGGCTGTAAGTTGAAAAAGGGTGAATCTAGATAAGGTATGACCCAGAGTCCAGTTTCATGATGGACAGCTGCATCATGATCTCTGCTTCCCTTTACCAAAAAGCTTTTAGCAACGCAAAGGATCTGTTAGCATCAAGGAACACTGAAAGCTGACAATTCCCACACCTGTTTGATGATCACCTGGCCAGTAGAATTTGTCCAGAAGTAGAGCCTTGTAGCATGCTAGTCATATCTATCTGCTGTGAGCATTAAATAACAAATAATTGCTGTTTGTAAAGGTGTGCAGAAAGATGACTATGACTAGGATCCTGGGGAGAGAGGGATGGCAGTGGGGAAGAGAAAGCACTGAAATTATAAGAGTATGTGTATGTGTATATTTTAATCAGCAAGCTTCAATCATGGTCAATTGGAAAGGAAAAGAAAGATTGGACTATCTGTATTCATATTTATGGGAATGCTCTTTGTATGTGAGTGAGAAGCAGTGGGGAGTATGCTCTCTGTATTGCCTGTGTGGCTGATGATGCTATTTTGTTTATCTGCATCTTTGCAATGCGTACTCAGCTTGGATTTGGCTGGAGTTGTAAAAAGGAACAGCAGCAGCCACAGCTATGAGTCTGAGATGGGAGGTGCCTCCTGGGTCTTAGACCACACCAGATTTCACTGTAATAGATGAAGAAAAAGAAATCATCCCAGGATTCAGCTGCTCCTTAGCATTGTCTACCCTGCTAGGGGGGTCTCAGTGTACAGTAATAGATGTCCAAATAAAAATGATCCCATAGAATTCCCATAAAGAAGATCCACCTTATGTGTCACTTTCTTCCAAAATCAAGATAAGCTTGAGGGAACAAAAAATTAAGAATCGGAATTCGGAGTTTTGCAAGGCTAGAGTTAGTAAAGCTGAAATTAAGCCTTCAAACAGAATTCCTGAGGCTGTTGGAGGTTGGAAGGAATATTGCAAGTTATGATATTGATGGGGTAGGAAAGACCCTACAACAGGGGATCAGATCATTCAAAATCAACTACCAAAGCCAATATTTAAACAGATAAATCTTCTTCCCTAATTGAAATTGGGATAAACTGTTGCTTTTCTTGAGGTTTAAATTAGGGTTTTGTGTTAGTCCAACTTCACAATCAAAACATGCCGTTTTTTTCGACGACAACTCGGGCAAGCCTTTATAGTATCTGAGCAATCCATCTAAACATACTTAATTCATCACACCTAAGTGGGAGGAAGGTTTTCTTATCAAGGACCTACATGCAACAACACATAGTATAAATGAGTTAATGCTATTTATGAAAATCTTAGTTCTTCAATCCTTTGTTCATGTATATTTCACACTAAGATTGAAAATACCACCTTACACTTTGCCGGTGTGTTACTTTTAAACAACCAACCAGGTACTATGTGAATTTTTAAAAACACTGTAACAAAGGTGAGCACAAAATCATAATCTGAAGAGCACTGAAATAAACAGAAGTGTTCAGAAGATAGGTCATCCACACCAGTAAGAATTTACTTCATATTCCAAGTATTTTTCTTCCTATAAAATTATTTCTTGTTATTAATAATGCAGCAGCTTCTACAAGCATGATCATGAATCAGGATTCAGTGGTGTTAGGCATCAGACAGAATAAAAGACTGTTACTGTCCCAAGTACATCGTCAATTAACTAAAGACAATATTTGTTAAAGTGAAGATCAGAGCATGCAAGGATTTTAAGTTTCACTTACACCTACACTCACAACACAGCAGAAGAAATATTTGGCAGATAAAGCAAATCTGATGGTGCCATGTAGTGTGATATAAATGTCTGACTTGTCTAAACACGCCCCAGCATTTTATGGCCTGACACAGCAAGACTTTTTATTCATATCAGCTTGAAGTTCAGTGGTTTTCTCTTTCACTTTATCTCTGTGTTCCTTTAAAATCCTCGGGGAAAGAAACAATACGTTTGAGAAAAAAAGTCAATAATACCCATAACAGATCAAAGCAAAATGCATATTCCCTAAGCCTATAAAATTATCCAGAGACTGACAGAAAATGACAGAATTTTGTGGACAACCAAAAAAGTATAATTAATGTGACTCCATGACAAAAACACTTTTGTTCATTTAGTTAGAAATATATAACTGTTGCTGATTGTTAGCACTTACTGTATATTACAGAGATTCAAAACAATGACTTTCTCTTGTTATTTTTGAGGCTGGAGCAAAAAGAAAAACACATTTGGCTAACTAAATGTGTATCAATTACCCGAAACATTCACAAAGTATCACTAACTTCGGAAAAAATATTAAAGATCTGCCAGCGAATTACCAGCGTTTTCATCTCTATATGATGCACAGAGATACAGATTTCTCTGTGAGTAGTGCAGAGGGGACAGATTTACCTGTACTTTTACTCTTAGCTTTTATATAACTTAAAAAAATCTACATCTTACTCTCCCCCAGCCCCGAGGCAGACAGCAGAGTTTGAACTGTAATGAGCAGAGGAAGAGCATCCAATGTTCGGCTGCAAGGATCCAGCAGCATCTGTTTCCAAGACCATTTCTGCAAACTTCCAAGAACTTCCTGCAAGAACTACCACTACATCACAGGTCCTCAGCTTTCCTAGCAGCAGTCCAGGTGTTTCTAGGTCTATCCATGGCTTCACTAGTTTACATGGGACTTTCTATGAACCTGAGCTCAACTGAAGCAACAAGGTCTGGTTACAGACCAGTTTAAAAGGAACAAATAATTTATCACTGTAATTACCTATCAAACTTCTTTATTAAACAGTTTTCTCTGTCACCAGTGACATGCCAGGGACATATAATATTCATAGACTGCGTTTTCTTTGCACCTAGCTAAGTGAAACATAGACTTCTTGGTATTATACCCAGAATATGCACTGTGTTCATAGAAAATTAAATTGTAATCCTAGAATCAAACAGAAAGATCACTTCAATCAATTTCGCACAATATCCCACTCCAGGTTTAAAAAAGGAACACAGACATACCAAAATATGCAAATCAAGAAACAGAAATAGATCATCTAAGGAAAAATTAGAATTTAATTCTAGAATTAACAGTGAAGAGCAACAAAAGAAAAGAAGCCCATGCCTGCCTCCCAAACAACAATACAAGTATTTCTTTAGCAGACATTTGTTCTATATAGTAGCTCTTGCTTTATCTCTCAAAGGCTAAAACACAGATATGCCTGATAAGGTAGTGAGGTCCTGTGAACTTTCCTTGTGATGATGAGGCAATTAGTACATCAGAGTGCTTGACAAAGCAGGTGAAAATAATTCTAGTAACCTTTTAAAAAAAAAATAACAAATCCTTGGAAAGCTTCAGCAACAGTGACTGCGTCCACACAGTATGAGCACCCACACCTGCAGTTTGAGACCAGTGTATTCCAGCAAATAACCAGTTAAAAACCTCAGCAAAACATAGCAATAAATTAATTCTATTTCATTTTTTGTACTTCTGAATTTTTTCTGCTCCTTCTTTCTCAGTCAGCCAGAACCTTTGTAGCCCTTGGGATCTTTGTAATTAAGAACAATGGATCAAGCCCTGATGGCATTCTCAGCACTTCAGCTGAAGCCTTAACACAATAAATGCAAATGTAAGAGGTCATCTACACAAAAGCCCGACTTGGCAGCTACTATGGCAAAAGAAATTTAAGAAGAAATAGGTCCTCAACCTATTAAGTGTACACAGTGAGCAAAGTCAAGGTAGGCAAAGCATTTCTTGTAGGCCTCCTTCAGGTACTGGAAGACTGTTGTCTTCCAAGAAAGCTGGAAAGGGACTTTTTACAAGGGTACATAGTGACAGGACAAGAGGGTAGACTCAGATTAAACACTGGGAAAATATTCTTTACTAAGAGGGTGGTGAGACACTGGCAGAGGTTGCTCAAAGACGCTGTGGATGCCTCATCCCTGGAAGTGTTTAAGGGTAGACTGGATGGGGCTTTGAGCAACCTGATCTAGTGGAAGATATCCCTGCCTACGGCAGGGGGGCTGGAATTAGATAATCTTGAAGGTCCCTTCCAATCCTAACTATTCTATAATTCTATTATTGTCTTATTTTATAGCTGATGAACAGAGAGAGAGAGAGAAGGCTTTATTAACTCATTTAAGTTCACTCGGTAAGTCTGTGCAGGGCCAAAATGATGTGCTAAACAGGAGCGTGCCTGAGCAGCACCTGTATCATAAGCCATTTTATTTAAATAATTGCTTGTGGTTACACTAATCCACTCAAAAAGAACATTGGCTGTTCCTGGATGCTCACAATATGCTCACAATATTCTTGTACTGCATGTGAATATTTTGCTTTGTGTCTGTTGTTTCTTCCTTCAAATTTAATATTACAATATTCTTCTTACTGTCATGATGTTTACTCTTTAATTTGTCTGACTACAGATCAGCTTCATCATGGCTTTTTTTTTCACTATGACACTTTCCCGAAATCCTATCATTCTATTCCCCCTTTCCTGGAGTATCACACGCACACTGCAACTACCAGTCTTCTCAAATGACAAGGAATTGAAAAGACCCCCTTCAGGCTGCTATTCTTCCTTTTAATAATGAACTGTGCTTCCTGCCTTGCAAAGAAGTGACACATGTTATAACAGGAGCCCTTTCCAATCAATTTTGTAGTACACTGATTTCTAAGATGTGGGACTAAAATACAGCAAAAGTTAATAACGCTGAGCTGCAATGCCCACTGGTAGTACACATTCCTCTCTGATTACAGGAAAAAGTAGGTAAAAACAATCCCATCCTGTTGTAATCTAAAATGCAAAGTTGTAAATTGGGACCACTCTGTTGACAGCATGTTGTTAGGTTGTAAATTGGGACTGCTCGTCTGAGAGCAAGATGTTAGGTTGTAACTTAGACCCGCTTTGTTGAGAGCAGTATGGGTCAGTGGGGCCTTGAGGTATGTATAAAACAAGGGTAGCCTGTGAAGATGAGAAAGGCATGACCAAGACAGACAGGGCCAGGTCTTCAAGATGAGGAGCAAATCAGAACTAACCTAAAACACAGACACAATTGTTAAGTAATTCACAAGAGTATTTTCACATGCACAAGCACAGAGATCAATCAGCGGAACACTATCAATGATGATCAGAGACCCCTCGAGAGCACCTCTGGTAAGAAAAGCACATGCATAATTAAAATGCAAATATTACAAGTAGTTCCATGAAATCTAATGTAAAACATTTCCTGGAAAGGTTGTAAATATGCATGTTTGTTGGATAATGAATGGTACCTGTAGACTCCAGGTGTGCTCACCTTTGCAAAATGATTTATGTGTCTGTCCTGCGCTGCAAAATAAAGAATGCCTACTTCCTAAAACTCCAAATTGACACTGAGAGTTTCTAAAAACTGTTGGACTTCAAGCTCAATAAGCTAATCTGATTCTTTGTGTGAGAACAGGTTCAGGGTTGTTTTCACCAAATATGGCTATATAGACTTGTATCAGCTCAGCATCTAGTGCCATGTATTTTGGATCATTTGTAAGAAATTAATGAGGTTATTCACAAAATAAGCAACTAAATTGCATCCACTGATAGAGTCTGTGGTACATGGTTTCACAGGAATTGCATGGCTATATAGCAAGAATTAATAATTCATTAATATTCATGTTTATTATTAGCTCAGCAAGCAAATAATTATAATTTCATTATGTATATGCTCCTTTTCAACTAATCCATTGTCATTAATCATTCCTTTCCTTAGCTATCTCAGGCAGCACATTCAAACATTCAAATGAGTCATTCAGATCCATTCATTTGATTATAACCATCTTTAATTTGACGACTTTCTTTGTTTTACTTATGCAAAACATTTTATTTTCTTGCATGACATGTTAGAATTAATGGCCTGGTGGGCTGCAAGTTCTCTGTATTAGAATGATTCATCTTTGTTTTACTAGTACAATTTTTTAAGAGAGCTAAATGACACGTGAGACACCTACTCAGTCCATTTATGTGTCATGTGTTTTCTCACAGAAGAATTCAGTGTGAAACCTTGGATGGAGTCTCTCCTCACACCCAGGGTCTTCAAAGTATGCATTTCCATACATGCAAGAAAATAAAACAGATTTCCTAAAGGGAGAACCTTTGAGGGATGAAGTTCAAGGCTGATACTGCTCCTCTATAAAAACAAAACAATGAACACAAAGGTATGCTTGTAAAAGGCTGTATGAATTATCAAAATAAAGTAAAAAGAGATCTGGCCCTAACTCTTTCAGTTACATGGAGGTGTCTAGCAGCAATCTTTCCTATAAATCAAGAACAACTCAGCTGTGTTTCAAATTTTCAAACTATCCTTTTTGGGTACCAGCAAGCAGAACTGTAAATCTATTTTCAAAGGAGAAACAAGTACATATGTGAAATCTGGCACATTGTTTAATTTAGGTAAATTGCTAACAACTCAGTTGATTTCTCAGGAAAATTGAGGTGACTTATTTCTAAATAAATTAGCATTCTGGAGGCATTGGTGTTCAAACTATATGCATTGTACAAAGAAATCACAGAAGTATTGATGGGCATGATACAGAGGAATATAAAGGAGTATCTGCTATTTTCAGTCCCTTAATGCTTAGATTACAGCCCATAGATCACCAGTGCTCTGGTAGATGCACACTGTTAACTCATTTTATCTCCTTGATGGAAAGTTACTAAAAGTAAACATATTTTCTACTCCCACCATAGGAGTAACAGATGGTCTTCTGTGGTTTTACAGAAGGTAGGAGGGAGAAAAGGTCCCCAAATTATCTCTCTGCTAAGAATACATGCACAGAGAAAACGGAGGAAAAAAAAGAGAGAAAAAAAGAGAGTACAAAATAGAGAGAAAGGGAGGACAAAGAAAAAGAAAGAGGGGAGAGAGAGAGTAGAGACAATGAGAGTGAATTCTCAAATATTTTTTGCACCAGTCCTAGAGTCATAGAATAGTTAGGGTTGGAAAGGACCTTAAGATCACCTAGTTCCAGCCCCCCTGACATGTCCCTGCCCCCCACGCCTCAAACTAGACCGTGTCACCCAAGGTTCTGTCCAACCTGGCCTTGAACACTGCCAGAGATGGAGCATTTACCTTTTCTCTGGGCAGCTTGTTCCAGTGCCTCACCACCCTCACAGTAAAGAACTTCTTCCTTATATCTAACTTGAACTTCCCCTGTTTCAGTTTGAACCCGTTACCCCTTGTCCTATCACTACAGTCCCTAGTGTAGAAAACATTTGCAAGGCTAGACTTCAATGTCTCATTCAAAGACTGTCAGGCAGTGATTTCAGTTCTGGTATTTTCTTGAAGTCAGCAGTCTCATGAATTCTGTACCTTAAAGTCCTGGTAAGAGGGCTTCACCTTGCCTCACTTTGCCTTGCCTTTCCTTCTCTTTCCTTCCTTACCCTCCCTTACACCTCCCACAACTCCTGTCCTAACAAATCAATGCCAGGAGCATCCGTGATATTGCTCTCCTTCTGCAGCAGTAAAAGCAAACTTGCTATCTCCCTCTTCCTCTTTCACCTGGCCAGCTAGGGCACCCCCTGCAAACCAACTGGTGCTACAGTATTCTTTCCTAATCAACTCATGATCTACATACAAAGGTCTTGGAATTAATGACCTACTCGATTGACAGAGTAATAAGTATTCTTTACAACATCCACTTAATTTAGCCTGCAGTAAGCAGTAAGCAGGCTAAATTAAACACCTGGAGTGATGCAGAGTCTTGGGTGACATGGTTTAGTGTGAAGTGTCCTTGCCCACAGCAGGGGGATTGGAACTGTATGATCTTAAGGGCCTTTCCAACCCTAACTATTCTATGATTCTATAAGTCTATGAAGCTGTTGGACGCTATTATGTTCATGATCCCAAGAGTGAAATTAAGTTATAAATGAGGTCAAGTAGTGTAATTGATCAGTTGGTTTATTACAGAAGGACAATTATTATAAAAAAGGGAAGTTATTGTAACAAAGGGGATAGCAATAGGGCAGATTGGAGAAAGGATGGGAATGAAGCAAGGATTCGGGCTGCAGGGAGAGAGAGAGAGAGTCACCATTGTGGATCCAGCGGTCCATGGGGATCTGTTGTTGGAAGTGGTGGGAGTCCGTCAGCGTTTGTAGTCAGTATCGGAGCAGAGTGTCCCCTGAGAGCCTGTAGTAGTAGTCATCAGAGGTGGGTGTCATCCTGCAGGTGTCCTTCTGGAGTTGTCCCCTTGAAGGTACTCATCTTGGCGATGTCTTTTTTCCCCCTTTTATAATGAGTTGGAGGGGAGCACCTATGTTCTTAATGTCATGTATTACACATTCCTGGATGACCAGACTCCCTGATCTTGCAGCCAGCTCTTCAACTGCACGTCTGCAGCAATTCTTGGGATAATGAGAAGCAATTCCTCACACCAGTCCTTGAGCTAATGGACTGAAGAGTCTTATCTCAACTCCCCCCAGCCATCTCTGAGACAATGGATTGGTGGAATTCTATCTCAGCTTCTCATACCAATCTTTGAGACAATGGTCAGTACAGTCCAATTTCAGATCAGTCTCACACACCACCTGGTGTCTCAAAGATTGTTCTGGATCCAGGTGGTTTTAGAAAAGAGATAATGTGAAAGAGGACAAGAAATGAAAAGAGCAGCGGTTTAAATTATTTTTACAACCAATTGATTCTGTGGATATATTAATCAGATTTGCTTAGTTATGTTAGGAGAGGCAGTAGTTACATGAGCCAGTTTTTGAATTCCAGATGTTATTCATTTTACTACTTTATCATTATCAATTTTCAGACAACAATTAGCATCATTTAATTTGCCACGAACTCCCCCTTCCACAGCTAGCAAAGTAATCAGGAACCATGAAGTATTGAAATACCATTTGCCTGGCCTGATCTCCTAACAGATCAAGGGCGCGGGCTATATCACTGGTAATGATTTCTAGGATAGCTTGAAACTGAATAATGCTATTTAAGTTATAAATAGGTTCTTAAGCACCGCTGAGCAATTCATTAGTGTTGCAGGTAGCCAGTCTGCAATACTGTATAATTCATTACAATACTTTATCAAAGCCTCCCAAGTGACTGACCCACTCAGGGCCCCACCAATTTGTTTACAAATATTCACTAGATTTCCTGGAATTACAACATTTGCATTTTAAATACACATTCACTTCCTTGCTGGGTGGTGATCTTGAAGGGTTTCTGGTGGTCATCGATAGTCTTCCTCACTGTGTCTACTGATTAACATCTGTGCTTGCGCATGTACAAAAGACTTCTGTGAATTACTTAACAACTGTGTCCATGGTTTATGTCAGTTTGTTCTGATTTGTTCATTACCTTGAAGAACTGACCCAATCTTGCTCTCAACAGAGCAGTCCCAATTTACAGCTCACAATTAACAAAGCATTTTGAATTCACAACTTAGCATTTCATCTTACAGTTCCCCCCTTTGAGGCTTACAGGATACATGTATATCCTATAACGCTCATCTCATGTTATTTTCCCATATTTAATTCTGAAACACCATTGTGAACACCAACATCAAATCATGCCTGCTAGGGTACAAACACAAATAATTATTATTATAATTATTACAAACAAGTTCTTTAACTGTGTCCAGTTTGGTAGCTAAGAGGGAAGTGTACCACAACTCTAAAAAACCCATGAGGTATTACCAGGTACAGGGTTAACCAATGTACAGGGGGGTTGTACAAGGGGGTTAGAGGAATTCACTTGCTTAAACAAAAGTATTGTCTGTACCTATCATGCCTACTAAGCAGAACAAAGGCACTAACCATTGATAAGGAAAAGCAGACACTTGGTTCTATTGACAAGGAAAAGCAGACACCTGATTCTACTGATAAGCAGATATTGATAAGGAAAAGCACACACCTGAAGGGGGCGATGCAGATGGTTTATGGCTGGGACACTGACCAAACCCTTAGGCCATACGTGAAGACTAAAAGGTGAAAAGTTCAAGAAGAGGTAGACTCATTTACTTCATCTTGAAGACCCCTACCCACAGGAGGAAGACTCAGTTACTTCATCTTGAGAGCCCTGCCCATGACCAGAAGGGGCACTGCGCAGGTGCAAAGGACCTTCTAACTCGTTATAATACGAAGCAGGGATAGGACATGAATATGTATAGGCATATTGTGCAACCTTATGAATATATATAACTTTAGAGAATAAATGTAGAGGGAAACAACACTGAAGCACACATGACTTTGAGGAATTATCCCCCTGTGTCTCAGGGCTGAATAAAAAGCATACCTACTTTACAACTTTTAATGAGTTGTGGAGTCAATCCGCACATCAGCATCATCTCTAGTGACTTGGTGCAAGATCTGTTTGTTCCCAAATCTCACCCAAATCTGTAGAAATTTTGCTGCTCTGTTCCACGTATGTGCAGCAGCTTGTACAGATGTCTCCATGGGAAGCTAATAGCAAGTCAAGGGCCATAGAGTTTTGCAATATCACCTGGGATAGGCTGGATACCTCAATCTCTAATGCATGTACTCACTCCCATCCAGGGGAGAAACCATCTAACAAAACTGAGAAATCCTGTGAAATCCTGTGGGACAATTGGCTATAGCATTGTGAGTCAACTTCTCTATGAGGTTGTACAAAGCAAGTGAAAAATGTGTCACCAGATCAGGCCCCACAAAACAATTTGCCTTAATTATTTTCAGTGAACTCTTGAATATATCCACTCTCCAACCCTCCGCTTGCAATCAAGGTGGAGGCACTGGGGCCTTCCACATTTTTCTTTTTCTTTAGGGCCCATGGGGTTTCTTTTGGGCCATTCTAACACCACCTTTTCCAATTTAGCAGTGGGTAATTCATCCATTAAATCTTTAGGAACACCCTTTCGCCACCCCAGCGTCCACAACTCTTGCCTTTTATTAGGAATATTTCTACCTCCTGGGCAAGCAGGGGGTGTCCAGCGTTTCCTGAGGAGGGTTTTTTATCTCTGTTCATCTCTGTCCCTTAGTATCAATTTTACTGGAAATATTGATGGGACTGTACTTTCTCCCATAATTAATCAACTCCTGGGCAACCCTTTCCACGTCCATACTTTCTTTTCTGTCTTTCGACAGGTGACAGCAGTCCTTCCAGGGCAGCAACAGCCTTTTCAGTTTGGGATGTTGCTTGTGTCTTTCTCTGCAATTGGACCCCTGCAGCTTTCAGGGAGTTGGGAAGACACCGAATGAGGGGAGTCACACGTTCGGAATTGACCAATATCATCCTCAGGGACTCCTGTTTAAGTCTAAGTCCCTGATCGTACATCATTCGCAGACATACCGCTTTCTGTACATTTTCTATCAACCAGTCGACTGTCCCTGTGATGGCGAATGGATCTCCCCTTTCCAAAATGTTAACTCCTCCAGCCCAATAAGCTGCTCTTTGAGTTAAGGACCAGGGTGCGCGGTGCTTATGGGTGGTTAAAAATGCTCCTAGCCCCCAATACCACTCAGCTTCCTTCTCACTTAGTAAAATGTGATCTCCCCCAGACAGCGATACTCTCCAAACGCAGTCAGTTTCTGATTCTTTTGCAGTACGACAGAATTCCTTTTGAAGTTTAGCTAATTCCGTAGCAGTATACAGAACCTCTTTGGTGGTAATTTGTGGGAATTCGTCCTCCCCGCCTTCATAAGTATATTCCATTTGCATCTAGGGGCAGAAAGAAGCAGCAGACATTTAATTTTTCTAACCTTAGTCTTTCCTCTTCCAGATCACCGTGAGGGTATTCAATTGTTTTCTCCAACCATGGAGAGGTGCATTTCTCTGCAAGGAGCTGCTCTTTCAGGGTTAATTGCAAGTAGTTAGCCTGAGTTTTCTCTTTGTCTAACTGTTCTTTTGAGTTAACTACCTGGTCCTGCAGGGATCCAGCTCTTGTAAAATTTGTGTGAACTGAGGTTCTGCTGTTTGTTGTTGTTCTATAGCTTCTACTGCAGCAGCCAAGCTGGCGCCCAGTACATCACAGACAACTGATTTAACCTTTCCAGGCCGCAGTTTTGCGTCCTTTTGCAGGGTGCCTATTCGGTCTGTTAAACTTTGCAAATTATGCCAATTTTTCTTGGCCCATTCTACCCCTGGCAGAGAGGGGCGAGCCTTACATTTCTCTAAAAGACCATATAACACATCTCTGCCCTGAGGGGCAGCTTCGCTGCTACTCATTTCTGAATGGGACAGTAGTCGCAGAAAAGCGGCATGTTTTGTTTCAACAGAACCCACCCCTTAAGTCACTGAGAAGCACACCGGTAATAACTTACACTTCATGCGACATTACGGTACTTTCCACTGCAAGGGATCCTGTCCCTGATGCCAGCTTAAATGTCAGGGTCTGACTGGAGAAAACCCCAGTGTCGGACTCTGTTTCATTCATGATCCCAAGAGTGAAATTAAGATGCAAACAAGGTCTTTGGAACAAGTTGCCCAGAGAAGTTGGAGATGCCCCATCCCTGAAAGTGTTCAAGGACAGGTTGGATGAGGTATTTAGCAAACTGGTATAATGGAAGGTGTCCCTGACAATGTCAGGGAGGTTGAATCTTAAGGTCCTTTCTGACCGAAACTATACTATGATTCTATGAAAAGCAGAGACTGCAGAACTCGTAACTCACAATACAGCAAGCAGGGAGTTATCTTTTTTTTTAAGTTTTCTTCAGCTCCAGTTGAGGATTATGTGCAGAGCTGCCCTAAAAACTCTTACTAATTGAATATCATCCCTCCTAGCCCTGGCATGCGGTCAGGAGAGGGGATCACTATGCAAAACTGCATGGGACAAGATGATTCAGAGAAAACTCCAGAAACAAACTCACCAACAAAGTTTAAGTTGACAAACAGGTATTCTTTATTGCAGCACTGTGAGACAGGAGGGGTAGCTGCTCCTAACGTGTGTCTTCGTACTGCTACATGAGCAGTCCTAATATAGTCACTGGGCACACATACATATTCATGAGGCTATGTATGAATGACATCATTTTCCAGAAAGTTTCTCCCATGGTTTATATTCCATTTTGTGCTTTTGTGCCTCTTTGTCTCAAAGGTCACTTCTGGTGTTTAAATATCATAGTCAAAAAGTGAGGATCCCAATAGCCATCATTTAGGAAACACAAAGTTGTTCATGCAGTCATCAGACTACATCTGGTGTATGGAAGTGATACGCACATAGACTCCACAACTTGTTAAAAGTTGTAAAGTAGGTATGCTTTTTATTCAGCGCTGAGACTCACGGAGATAATTCCTCAAATTCATGCGTACCTTAGTGCTGGTTCCCTTTACATTTATTCTCTAAAGTTATATATATTCATAAGGTTGCACAACACGCCTATACATATTCATGTCCTATCCCCACTTCATATTATAAAGAGTTAGAGGGTCCTTTGCACCTGCGCAGTGCCCCCTCTGGTCATGGGCAGGGGTCTCAAGATGAAGTAACTGAGTCTTCCTCCTTTGCGTAGGGGTCTTCAAGATGAAGTAAATGAGTCTCCCTCTTCTTGAACTTTTCACCTTCTAGTCTTCACCTATGGCCTTAGGGTTTGGTCAGTGTCCCAGCCATAAACCATCTGCTTCTCCCCCTTATCAGTAGATTCAGGTGTCTGCTTTTCCTTATCAATATCTGCTTATCAGTAGAATCAGGTGTCTGCTTTTCCTTGTCAACAGAACCAAGTGTCTGCTTTTTCTTATCAATAGAACCAGGTGTCTGCTTTTCCTTATCAATAGAACCAGGTGTCTTTGTTCTGCTTAGTAGGCATTTACAACAGACAATACTTCTGTTTAAGCAAGTGAATTCCTCTAACCCCTTTGTACACCCCCCTGTACATTGGTCAACCCTCTGCATCAGAAGGAGATGAAGCACTATTCACACAAAGTGGCAGTGATTAGATGCACAGCGTAAAGACTGCCCTAAGCAATGTAATGTCATGAATTGAGTTGAATTCAGTTGGAGTCAAGATGAGTCAAATCTAATTGAATTGAATTGGCAAGCCTAGTCAGCAGGCTAGGAGGACCATGCAGGACTTACGCACATATTTCTGTGCCACATGGACAGAGATTTATCAGAAAGGAGCATCCTGCTGTGTTTTCTTTAAAAAAAAAAAACAAAACCCAAACCAAACCAGGCAAAAATAATACAACCCAAACTAAGGGTTAAGACACTGATATTTCATAGAAATAAAGATATATAATTCCTATTTCTAAGTGACCTTTGGAAATTAGCTTCTTTTTTACCCTCACAACATTTCTTTAGAAACTAAACCAAGCTGTTTTCAGCAGCCAGCCAGGAGGGATTTTGTGATTTCTTCTCTCCCCTCCCTGCTTTCTCTCAACTGTTTTCAGGGAAAAAAAAAATAAAACAAGTAGGAAATAAGATCTGAAGGAATGTCCATTTCCCCTCCAGCTGAGATGTGCTTTCAAGGAGCATGAATGTCAGGCAGCACAGGTTAGCCCCAGCTAGACCTGGTGACCAGCCTGGCTTTTGTTGTCTTAAAGTCCAATAATGCCACACTTTGAAAATGTGATACCAAATAAGCCATACAGCAAGCAAAAAGTATGCATTGTATAAAATAATTTCAAAAGATGAAGCTCTGTTCTGTGTCCTACACTTTTTATTAAAATGTACCACTTAGAAGTAATTATGTAACCATGGCATAATTCTAACATAATTTTTAAGATATGCTTGCTTCTTCTAAAAGAACTATATAATTATGACCAAGCATACCTATTTTCCTTATACTTTAACCTTTTTAAATATGTGCTTCAAGAATATAAAAGTGAGTAATACTTAACAATGATACTAAAATTAGAAAACAAGCACAGCTAGCTTTGAAGCAACAGCAGTGCAAGAACTTTAGACTCCAAAGAAATGCAACTCCCAGCATGTTGTTTTAAGGATTATTACTGCAAATGGCAAATTCATTGCTAACATGCACATAAAAGTTAGAGCTGGGAAAAAAAAAAAATTTCAATTTGCTAATAAAAATTCTTTTAAAAAATAATTTTAAAGATATTTGCTGTCATTTTTTTGATAGTGTAGCATCTACCAAAGCGGACTCAAAAAATATCAAAATACAACAAATGTCCCTTTTTGACAAACAAATCTCAACAAACTTTCAAAAAAAACTTTTCTTTTTTTTTAGACAATTATTACCTTTCAGTAGATCTTCTCGTGTCATCTATTAAAATGCGTAAATTCAGCTTAACTTCACTTTTCCCGAACAGTCCTTCAGACACAAGCCTATGCACACATTGTCTGTAGTTACCACTTATGTAGGTTGAGTTTCCCTTCTATGCACCTTCAACATTTATCCGCGATATATTTACATCTCTTTCTTCATGGCTTAATTTGTCATGATTTAATTAAAAACCTGAAAACTAAATAACTTTTGATTCTGAGACTAATGCATTACCCTTCAACACCATTTCATGTTTTGCAAGGTAAAGACATTCTTCCTAACACACCTCCTCCCCTTCATTCTTCATTGACCTTGGTGTCTGCAGCATTGTTCCTCACGATTTACTCTCCCTCAACCTCTACACAGTGTTTTCTGCCCTTTCTTAAACACGCTTTCCCAGATGCACCACCACTGCTGCTGCTGGGCTCAACTGTGCCCTGCGGTGGGTCCATTGCAGCCAGCTGGGACCGCCTGGGGACCTGGCCTGGGGCAGCCCCCGCCTCTTCTCCCTGGCACAGAGGCTGTCCTTGCAGCGTTCTGCTGCCAACACCTGGGCATCTACACCCAGTACATATCCCAGCATAATTTCATCCTTTAGAATGGTGCAGTAAGTTCTTGAGTTACCTTAATTAATAAGGTCTGCATTACCTTAAAAAATACAGCTGCTTCAGAAGTCCTGCCTTTTGTCTCTGCAAGGTTTCTGTCACTCAGTGTACCTCCCTGTAATGAGAATGAATGTAAAAATTGTTCTAACCATGGTAATAACACTGCTGAAATGTTTCCCTGTAGGAGTATCCACATTTGAGACTTCCGCTTCTCCAAACCTGCGGACTTAATCCTGCACAAATAGTTACTAATTTAAAAAAAAAAAAAAAAAAAGTTAGCAAAGGAAGGAGTAGAGGTTCTTTAATTAAAAAAAAAAAAAAAAAAAGCTTTACAGTTTCTTCATCCAGAGAGTTCAATACATGCTGATACTGGCACCTGCATCATTCAGAGAAGACATCATTCACAGTCACCATGTAATCTTCTATCCACAATTAGAATTGATCTTGCAGCTGGAACCAGATGTCAGGCTCACATATTTACAATCATAGAATCATAGAACAGTTAGGGTTGGAAAGGACCTTAAGATCATCCGGTTCCAACCCCCCTGCCATGGGCAGGGACACCTCACACTAAACCATATCACCCAAGGCTCTGTCCAAACTGGCCTTGAACACTGCCAGGGATGGAGCATTCACAACTTCCTTGGGCAGCCCATTCCAGTGCCTCATCACCCTTACAGTAAAGAACTTTTTCCTTATAACCAATCTAAACTTCCCCTGTTTAAGTTTGAACCCGTTACCCCTTGTCCTGTCACTACAGTCCCTAATGAAGAGTCCATCCCCAGCATCCCTACAGGCCCCCTTCAGATACTGGAAGGCTGCTATGAGGTCTCCATGCAGCCTTCTCTTCTCCAGGCTGAACAGCCCCAACTTTCTCAGCCTGTCTTCATACAAGAGGTGCTCCAGTCCCCTGATCGTCCTCAGGGCCCTCCTCTGGACTTGTTCCAACAGTTCCATGTCCTTTTTATGTTGAGGACACCAGAACTGCACACAATACTCCAAGTAAGGTCTCACAGTTATGCAGCCTGAAACACCGAACATAGCATCTCACATTTTTACACGGGACTTACACCATTTACTTTGACTTAACACAGCTTGGTGTCTGGCCTTAAAATGTTTTTTTTTTTTCCTTTCAGTGAAGCTTCAAGTTCTTCCTGTGCAGTCTGAAAACTACACCTGCTTCAATACATAGATTTTATAGATATAGATTTTCTAAAGCCACACTGCAGAGTAGGGCTGAGCACTAATTCCATAAACCACTACTGAATCCAAAGTGCTTTGTAAACACGGTATTATTATTCAGCAGTCTGACTACTGGGCAGGTTTCTTCTGTGGCTTTAAAAACAGATCATTCCACAGGCTTCACTCTGGATCTGAAAAGAGAGGCCTCAACCTTGAAGAGGTGTAATTCTACTGTCTACTTCCAAATCATGCATCAAACATGCACACCTAAAAATAGTGTTCTAAACAGAGTCATGGTTCTCTTACAATCATTCATCAACAAAGTTCATTACTTGTGCCCTTAAGAAAAATCAAATCAGTAAATAACTAAGTAGAGTTTGGCACAAAGCTTAACAGAAAAAGCATGTGACATTTGACCTAATATTCTGCTTTATCCTGAAATATGCCAAATAGCCATAGCTCTGAGTTATGCAGTTCATTACTGAGATGCATAATCTGGCAAGATCTGCCCCACAGTCTGGCATCTCTGCATGCCCCATTGGCAACAAGAGGGTTTTACAGATCCCTGAGCATTTTGTTTTAAACTATCTCCTGTTAAATAATCTTCAGTGGACATTTCTGCCAATTACAGCTTCAGGGTAATGTAACTTTTGCTTTGTGCAGAAGGCTGGAACATGGCAGGTAGGTTGATCTGTCACTTAAAGGCCATTTCTATCCCTCAAAATACGAACTGTAAGCATTTCTTCTTGAAAAATATTTTTCGAGTCAGAATCTGAAATCCAAACCATTTGAAATAGAAATCCCAAAATGATGATTCTGGATCACCGTTAAGTGAATTGTGTGTAGCCGCATAGGTATGTTTTACCTTGCTGGCCAGCCTCCTTGGTCAGGAATTATGAATTTGATGAAGAAAAGAAGCACATCCTAGATGTCTCATACCCAGAGTACATCCTGAACAGCAAGCTCCAGATAGTCTTAGCTTTGAGTAGAATGGAGCATCATGCACCACAACTGTAATTTCTGTAAGGAATTCCACTAGATTTTCAAAACTAAGACATACCTTTTAACCAATTAAACTGATTTTTAATTCCAAACACCCTCAGCAAAGAGTGTGGAGGATAGAGAACAATGACATTTTGAAGAAGTAGCAAAAGATTCTGTAGAAGCCAGATGTGCTACAGAAAATATGCTGAATTACTTGGGGAAAAATTACTAGAACTGCACTTGGCTTTGATGTGAGTTTCTGCTTATGACACAAATCACAGCACTAAATACGCAGAGAAGGAGGCTCACTGGCATGCTAAGCAAAGGGAGTTGAACCTCTGCAGCTGGAAACTTACATTTCCTTCTTCTCGTGTAGTCTTGATGCCTCCTCCTGAAGCATCTGTCACTGTTTTTGAGCCTGGCTTAGTTTGTGAGACTTTCTCTCTAGGTCTCTCTGCAGCTCCTGGTTAGTCTGCTTCAGCTTGGTGTTCTCTACTTTGATTTCTTCTTTGCTACTGAGAAGTTCTGTACATTGCTGCTCCAACTGGGATGGAAAAGAGAAGAAAGTATTATAACTAACTGATGCATCTTGATTTTGAGGCTTTCAATTCAAGTCTTAGAGGTCAGCTGAATGGGGAAACTATTTCTATCAAAGCCAACATCTGAATAAAATACATATGGTGCTCTTCCACTGCGCTACGTACAGACATAATTATGTTACGCAAACCCAAAACCATTGCATTCTATAACTGAATTTCATTTAGTTAAAAAATGCAACAGGACAAACCAAAAAAAAAAAAAAAAAAAAAAGGTTAAAGAGCAGATTAGCAGTATTTATTTAGTTGATATTCACAACTGCTATTTTAGACAGTTTCCCACAATGACAAGGCCTACACCGAGCAATTCAGAGTTCTGCCTGAAAACTGTTTGATCTAAATCTGGTAGCTGATAAACCTTCCCATTCCCAGTAATATCAACAAGCAGTAACCTTTCTGCTACCTCCACTAAATCTGCCAAGAACTGTGACTTAGAGCTTTTTTATTCACTTTTCAAAGTACATAAAAAGGGCAGATCCACCTTCCCTGTGAAACAGGTAACAGCAGGTGACGTGGTTTCTGGTATGTAAAGAAGTGATACCTGATTCTCCTTGGCTAACTTAGCAAAAGTTATGTAGGCTAAAATTAGTCCACTTTGTACTAGGGAAGGCATTGCTGACCTGAAGATATGGAAGTTTTTCTGTTTGTTGGGTTTCTTTCAGTATGCCTTTTAAGGGATGTAAAATGTACTAGGAGCATTATAATGATTCCTGTTCAGTCTTCCAGATCTGAGACAGAATGGAGGATTCTACTAGCACTTTCATTTTGCCCATCCCAACAAGTAGAGCTCACCCAACCCAAAATCTGTCCTTACCCAGCTCTGCTAGTCTGATCACGTACACAACACTGCTATTGTTCTAGTCTTGTTTTTAAATGCAACCTTAAGGCCCAGGTTAAAAACAAAAGCAGAAAATACTTTCTAGCTGGGATTGTGAAAGGTCAGGAATGAGTAGATTGGGAGTACTTATCTCAACAGCAGCTTAACATATTTGCAGAACTGTAGCCTCAGCAGGCTCACGATTCATATGGAAAACTGACTAGCTGGGCATCAAATTACTGCTGAACAATGTTGGTTTACACTGCTAGATCACTTCAGTTCTGGGTATCACTTCCATTCCCTGACAGAATGAAGTGATGTATTCCAAGTAAAATACAGATATTCAAATATGACAGGACAAGACTTTCTTATCCAGATGAGTGGTTTCAGGAGAAGGAAAAAGGGATCACAATGACACACTTTCAAAAAGCTTCAGAGCAACAAATTATGGGCAGAAATCTCACTTACAGAATACTATGGTCATGTGAAAACTTACACAGGGACTGGCCTGGAAATGTAACTGCAATGGTGTCCATCATCAGCTCCTGAAATCATAGGTACTGATGTTACAAATACTTCCTGCAAATTCTGGTGCTTACTCTTGTGAGAGAAGCCATTCCCTAAAATGGAACAAAAACTCACAAGTTTAAAACTGAGTAAAGAACTGGGATTATACAATACAAACAAACTGTTCCTGAGGACAGTTTTGCTGCCCCTTAAAGACACACACAAAGCACTCTCCATGCATTCCCTTGTTCTTAGCTCAGCATCCCTTCCATATTTTGTCTTTTTTCTTTTCGTATTTATTTCAGGTGTGCATGAAGGATGAAACATTTATATAGTGTTATAAGGCTGGAGATTATTTTGTTCTTTATGCCTTTCCTAACAATCCTAACACTTGATCTGCATTTTATGAGTGCTTCTGATCCATGTTCTCACGGATCTCTTGCTCAGAATCACGCACTTCAGTGGTTGTCATCAACACAGAACCCATCATCAGCACAGAACCCATCATTTATGTGAGAAGCCCAGTGACTCTTCTGCATTTTACCTTGTCCATCCCTATTTTCTTTCCCTTATACAAGATTCTGTGCCCTAGATGTTATGCTAGACATCCTCTGTCCCCAGTGCTTCCTTCTGGGACATGCCACCACACATCCCTTAAAGAACACTACTGAAAAGAGCTTGTGCTTTATCTAAGCCATTTAGAGCAAGCTGATTTAAGAGCATAGTAGCCAGCAAAAAGGCCTAGCCAAAGGAATTCCTAGCCAAAGGAATCTTGGTCTACAGAAGCCCAGTTAGTATGGATTCAGATCAGTACTGTGGATATGCCAAGCATAAGACCCTTGCAAGTGAGACTGCTAGCTAGGACAACAGAAACAACACTGAACTCATCTTTCCTGGAAGTCCCCTTTCACATTTTTTATCATAATTTCCAAAACAGGAATAATTACATTGAAACGGGAAGAGAAGGGAAGGGAAAGAATGCATTATAAAGTTTGGAAAAAAGTGTTTCTGTTATTCCTAAGAGGTTCTCTTATATAATCAAGCACATAAATTGTAATTAAACTAAGCTACCATTACCATCTGCAAGAATAGATTTAACTATCAAAGTATATTTCCATGCAAGAGGAGGAGGTGAAAGTGTCAGCGCTCTGGATAAGGCAAACATTAGTCAGGTGGAAGCTAACCTAACACGCATTAATATCTAGGTGAATGATGACTAATACCAGAAAATGAGTGTGGTTATATTATTATAAAAACAGATCTGAGGAAAGATGAAAGTCAATCTCAGAGATTATTATTAGGAATTAGGAAAATATATGTACAAAACACTGTCCCTCACTACACTAAGTTAAGAATTCCAATAAGCAGGTTAGGCTGCTACACCCGAAAACAAAAATCATATATTGTGTGTTAAGATTGATGCTGGCGGCTAATCAGCTGTTTGAATAACAAAGGTTTCAAATGCTATCAATCATCTGAATAAAATTATCTCACTCATCACACTGTTAGAAGCAGCAAATTCCATTTGTCCAACACAGCTTCCTTTCCATAAAAATAAAATGGGATAGTTTAATTTTTATGGTACTACAAAGATGCTACTCCTCAAAACCAGCCTTGTTGGGATTCATGGAAAATTTGTAAGGGAGAGAGGAAATTATAAATAAAAGAAAACACAAATAAAAAAGGAAACACAGTAATACTATTAATTATAATGCAATGAACAGAAAAGGAAAACATGAAATTAGATTTAAAATAGGACTAATAAAAATAAGAGAGACATTTTATTGTCCAAAGATAGGCAAGTGTAAACAGTAAACATAAGATAAAACTTCCTGATACTGCTGCCTGTGCTACTTGATTACACGAGGCTTAAAACTGAGTGTAAGGCTTTGAATAACTTCTGTGGGTTTTATACCAAATTTAGAACATGTATGTTAGAGAACCACAGGGAAAGGGTTTTACAGAACTACTGGTTGATAAGTTTTAAACATAGCTTTAAATTAAAAAAAAAAGGAAAATATTAAAATATAGTAATTAACTGTAATAATTTTTGCAGTTAGGCTAAAAATACCTGATTTGTGTGCCCTCACAGGTATCTTGAAAGTATAAATTATTTTACTCTGGTGTTGCAATGTGGTAAACACCCTGCATAAACCAACTTCTGATTCATAGCAGTACTGAACAAAGGCAATTAACATCTGGCAGTTGATTCCAATTATATAATGGCCTTTTAGTTCAATTCTATATTCTCATCAGCTAAAACCGCATAAGCTTGTAAACTAGAGATTTGTCTCCCATCTTACTCAAGATTTGTCTCCCATCTTACTAATACAAACCTAGAATTCCCCTCAGCTTCAGCAGCACCTGGATTCATTCCTCAGAGAAGGATCTAAAAACTACACAGAGATAGGAAATGGTTCACAAACTTCTTTTTCCTCTTCCTTCCCTTCCTGTCTTACTTCTCTCCTACTTTCCAGGACTGGCACTCCCAACCACTGCTCCCAGGAAAAAAAACCAAACATATTACATGTATTTTTATTCATATTTGTCCTGAGTTACTGCCTGGTCTTAAACCATGACAATATTCTACAAAGGAAGTCGGTTTCACAGCATTCCAGTTCAGCCCTTTAAATTCCAGTGCCACCCCCTTTCCCTGTCCTTAGCCGTTCATACACTGGCCTTCAAGACACTTTATAGCAAGTTCACACATGCAGAAATACTCTGCTTCCCCACACAGGCCATGCATTTTAACAAGTAAAACACATCAGGCTTTTAATATGGGAACTTGTCAAGCAGCTACCATGCAAGAGAACCATGCAGTGCTATAAAACTGTTATCACAGATTTATCAGGAGCTGATTGTTCAGGAGGGAGTATTTCAAGTTCATAGTGCTGTACCGTCCAAAAGTAAATGAGTATTTGGTAGAGCTTTGAGTAAAGATGTACACTACAAGACCCAAATCATTGTTGATCTCTCCAGCTGTCTGGGGATTAAGCCAGTTCCCAGTGCATTGAAGAGAGTGGAATTCTGCTACATTTTCATAAGATTACCCTACTACCTGGGGAAAATACCTGAAGCTTTTTTTTTCTTTTCATTTTATCATATAAAAGGAAAACTTTTGTTCTGTTAGGATTAAAAACAAGACAGAAAAACCCAAAGAGCAGACTGTGAAAGCAGTAGATGATATTTAAAAGAGATTTTGTAAGAAAAGAGAATTCATTATCAGGTGTTCTGGAAGCTCCATAGCAATGACAAAACAATCTGACCTATGTTTGTTTTGCAAATATCTGTGAAGGTTTCAGAAATTACCATCACTTGATTTATCTCTTCTTATTCTATTGTCAGCTAGTCTGGCACATAAGCACTTGTCATTTCTGCAGGCTGGATGCTCCCCTAGCATTTCATTCACGGTTTACATTCTTAATTCTGTTCAAATTAGGCAGAAATATAAAATAATATCCTGCTTTAACCAAAGTGTAACACAATTAAACGTAACTAACAAGCATCAGAAAAAAATAATCTGGTACATTAGTTGGCAAATATTCCCCACATACACTCAGGGAAAATAATTAAAGCTATAAGGGCATATAATTGTTATGTGAAAAAAATGTAAATGTTTTGAATAAATCTCTATTCCCTGTACCATACACTTTTACTTACATAATTGTATGATTTTGTCAATATTCAATAATATGATCTTTCCCTTTCCAGTAAAGCTGTGGAATAAACAGAGATGGAGATAAAAGGGAGATGGTGCTGTTGTCAAGCACATTAACCAAAATGAAATGTAACATGAGCACACTAAATTCACATGATGAGTTCAGAATCAACACTCTCACAAGGGTTTGATTTCTGCCCATACATGCAACTGTGACGTGAACTGTTGGGGTTTTACAACTGCTGCTCATGCAGTTGGTTGTAATGGTACTTCTTTCCCTTTGAAAAAATACAGTGATTTACACACTTCGTACACTAATCTTCTGAGATGCTGATTCTACTCTTCCACCAAAGGTGGACTCTGACACTGTCTCATGCTAAACCCAATGAGAAGCCAGTTCATCCTTCCTATACTGTTTACCCTTATGTTTAGCTATCTTCTCTATTTAGAACTCTGTTGTTTGAAACACAGTTCCCCTTCTTACTACATTTGTCTTTCAAATGCAAAGCACAAAAGCGGACAGAGCTAACGGCAAACAAAAATTATATCCACTGTGTGGATACCAAAAGCAAGACGGATGAATGTACGGAGCTGGATGGATAGATGAATGTATTCCACACTTTCAGTGCACAGCTTTAGTTATTCCTTATTCCAGCACCAGACTACACATACATACAGTGTTTTGTTTGATACATTACTGTAGTGCAAGTCTCTCACTTGAATGAATAGAAAAAAAAAGAAGGAAATTAGCATTTCTAAAAGGTTTTAACCCTGTATTTTAATTTTGCCTTAAAATCTACAAATATACACAACAGCTTATCCTCAATTCCTTTATGATGATAAACACGAGTGAGAAAAACACCAGTTCTGAGATAAGAATGTGTCTGTTTTGTTTTCCTTAAAGTAGGTGTATTAAGTTCTACGCAAAAACTCATCAGCACTATTTGGGCTGTTGTTCTACTAAACCAGAATTACAGATCACTTAAAAGGATAAACATGCCCATGGTTAATGAGTTACCAAATAAACACATCCTGGTAACAAACTTTAATCCAGCTGAAACAGCCAGTGAGAAGAAGGAGACCCACACCTGGAAAGACCCAAGGTCTGAGTCAAAGAATGAGTAAGGGGCCCAAGTGGCAGGCAGAGACAAATAGATTAAAGGCCACACTAATATTCAAAAGGTCTGTCAATGCAGATTTATTTCTGAATAAAGTAAGTGTGGAGGAGGGCTGCATGTGCATATGTTTTCACTAATAATATTCATTACTTATAAACTGGATGGGAGAAACAGGATCAGGCTGTCAGCCTTCATGTTTGTGCAAATGCTACTTGTGTTTAGGTCGGTGCCAGTAGAGGTACTCCTTTCTAATGAGTATTAAATCTGCACAGTTCCCCGTATGTTGTGTATCTGTATATTGAGGATATACATTCAGCCTTACTACTGCCTGGACCTACAAATGCAGCATTTCTATTGAACCAGACAGGAAAAAAAATCCTGGTTGCTTAGACCACAGGATTCAAGTTCATGAATGAAAATATGCATGCATGAAAACTCCAGAAGAAAAGGCCAAAAACACATATAGAAGAATGGCAGAGGTTAACAGCATAGACAGGCAAGGCATAAAGTTGTGCACATGCACATGAAGCTTCTCAGGGCATCCACAAAAAAAGGAATTGTAACCTTAAATCTTAAACTAACGATAGTGTGTGTGCCTTTAACATAGCAGAATAAACCAAACTGTTCTAACTTACTAATACGTAGAGAGAAAGGAATGTTCAGGTGACAGGAGAAGGAACAGCGTGGGACTGATAACAACTTAGGAAACAGTAAGTTTAAGGATGCTGGCCTTCAAGATAGCAGAGTGGCACCCAGCGTGGAGTGAGACTGGCACAGAACAGAAGCAAGGACATCCAACTGCTAACTCAGCACTAGGACCTTGCAAGTATGCGCAAGCATTGAGGTCATTCATTAAACACAGTGAGGAAGACTACTGGTGACCGCCAGAGACCCCCACTCAGCAAGAAAGTGTATGTGTAATTAGGATGCAAACATTATAATTAGTTCCTGGAAAGCTATGAATATGCATGAATATGATAAATATACATCTGCTCTCTGCAAGTATTGGGTGTGCTCTCCTTTGCGAAACAATTTGTGTGTGTGCCTAGCACCGCAATAAAGAATGCTGCTTCCTAAAACTCCAAATTGAGTCTTACAGAGTTTCTCTGACTGACTTTTATGGTAACAGAATGACTTAAGACAAAATCATAGCCTACATCCAGGAAAGGAGACAAAGGTCTGACAGTAGACTGTATTATTGCCTAATATAGACAATATAGACCCACAGAGGTGAGACAGGAAGGAAAGATGAAAGAGCACATTCATTCTCAGCTTCCAAAAAGTATTACTGTAAGCAAGCAAGAACCCAGGAGACATGATAAGACCTCAATAACCAGCATCTTCTGTGACACCACAGTAAATCCTGGCCAGTCTATGCGGACACATGCATCTCAGTAGGTAGAAAAAGCATGGGAGTATGAAAAATATTTTTTTTTCCCTATATATGGTCTTGAACTTCGCTGCTGTTTGGACATACTTGAAAATAAATGAGGCTATTCATCCCCACAGTTACCAAAACCAGTGTCAGTCTCTGACAGTTCTGACTCCTTCCAGCTGTGAATTACAAATAACACAATGACCTATGTGCCGAGATTAGAGGTGTTATTAGGAGCAACAGAAAGAAAAAATTAGCTAAAACCTTTTTTTGCTACAAAGGCATAAAACTCCAATGCATTTTAAGGTCACAATTTCCGGTCAGACAGAAAAGTCAGGTAATGCTGATGGTATACTCAGTGCGCCTCTGTGCCAATCACAGCTATTAAACAGACGCATTTATTCATTCAGTTCTCAAAACACACTGACAAGACCTGACCAAAAAAAACCAACAAATCCAAACCACAAAACAAACCCTTCACCACACATGGTTGTAAATAATCTCTAGTCTAAAACAGACAGCTCAACTACCTCATACTTTTCCAATTGACTAGCTGTCTGAAGGCCAAAATCACACTTGTTGACTTAGATGAAAAAAACTATCAATATAAAACCCAATTGTCTTTAATGACCATATATTTGTAGGTGTTTTGTTTCTTCTGAAATCTTGTCACATTCTCAGAATAGCCAGCAGAGTGCTGAACAAATGAAGCAAATATTCTACAATGTATTTGCCTTTATTACTCAGTATGTAAGAATATGAAATACAGAAATGACACTTTATAATAATAATACGGGGAATTTTAAGCATCATTTTGTATTCTATTTAGACTTAGTATCGCATTTTTGCTCTTCTAGATAGCTACACATTTAAGGATGATCTATTACTTTTTAGTTCTTATATATTTGTTTTTACATATGTTTTATATATTTGTTTATATATAGATGCATTACAGATGTTTTTATATATAAAACCAATATATATTGTTTACTGTGTTTCATGTTTGTTTTATATATATTTATTTACCTACATTTTCATTGGTATCAGTGCTTTATTGCTGCTTTAACATCTTAAACCTCTCATTTCTCTGGCGAGTAAATCCAGATTTATAGCTTTTCTGCACACAATGTTTGCAAAGCACACAGACAATTTACCAGATTTGCTGGTAAATCTGACTGTCCTCTGAAACCAAACTTATTAACTGGAAGTGTATTGCTAATACTGTCTAAAAACTGCAATGCAATGCAATAATAGACATCTGCAAAATTATTTCAGTCAACAAAATCTGTTAACTGGAAGAGAAAAGGTAATTTCAGCCAGTTCTGCCTTATGAATAATTCTACTGGTAGTCTTGATGACTACTAAAATTTCACATTATGGGGATTCTTGTGATTACAGTCCTCAGTTCTTTGTCCTTAAATAGCTCTCTATAGTTCTACGTTCTCTGTAGTCCTCAAATAATACCTTGTTTATTTCAAAGGTTCAAATAGCAGGTAAGATAGTCTCAAAACTACACGAAGAGTCCAACAAAGAGAAGTTCTAACTTTTTTACAGCACATTCCAACTTGTTCTTTTCATTATCTGCTTCTTGGAGCTGGGAAAAAATTCTGACCAGGAACTCTTCAAAACTAGGAAGTAAATGAGATTCACCTTTTCTCAGCTGCAACCAAAGTTGTTTCACATCATTCTCACTGAAAAAAAGAGATCATAAAGGATTCATTAAGAGAGAACATTTCTCAGGCTGCAATGAATGTTCACGTCATCCTAGGGGATGGAGGCTTTAGGGCATCACTAGTCAGAACGCAAAGCCTATTAAAAACAGGGTTACTTTGCAGTAACAGACTTTAAAAGAATGAGGTGGGTGGGAAATGGTGGAAATAACATTTATTCAAAAAAATGCATCAAAAGTCTTATCATAATGAAAGCTTTTCAGGATGACTGCCAATCAATTCTTTCCTGTTTTCAAGCAGTTGGATGTAAAGAAGCACTGATGAGCCCTTTATCTCATGGTAAGGATCACTGATGTGTTTTTTTAAACACTCTTACTATCCGTCCAGATTCTCTCCCACTTTTGCACCATGCTTTTTTTGCTCTAGACATTCATTGTGATTGACTAGTGAACGTCAGGCCAACACACAAGAAGCTCTTAGAGCTATTTTTAGTGTTCTGTGTTTCAGAATGAGTCATCCTGGTCCTGGAAGAGGTAGTGTTATCATAGCGATCACAGCAAGCAATTATGTATCAAGGGGAGAAAAAGCAGAAAAAGGTGAAAAAACATTCTTTCTTATGGCTAAGTGGCACACTTCAAACACAGCCTTCACCAAAAAAAGCAGTCATCATGCATTGGTTGATTGAAAATCAGTGGCATCTGTGGATTACATGCTAGTAATTATCTACGTTCAAACCCCATGGTACATCAGTGGATTAATAGTGTAGCTCTTAAATGGCACAAACACACGTTTTGTATGCATGCAGTATGATAGCTTTGCTCTTGGAAATTTTGGTTGAAAGTCATTTTATAATTTCTGACAGCCACAAAAATTAATTTTTAAGGAATCACTGTGTTACCAAGCAGCCTTTGTTCTCATCATTTACCTTAGATTCTATTAAAATCAAATCCAGAGCTGAAGCATAAAAGGTCATACAATCTATTACTGTTGCTGGGAAGACTCACTCATCACAAACCTTCTTAGCTCCAAGTCAATCCATCAGATCTGAGAACTGAAATTCTTCATCCTTATCATCACTCATGCTCTCTTTGCCCTTAAGTTGGCAGACTGTTTCACCTTCTGACTGCTGCATCATCTCCTTATTCAACGTAATCTGCTCCATAAGAAACTGGCTTAAGAATTAGAAATCATACACATTAGCATTTTCAGAGCTTACGATAAGAAACAATGTCATTTAAGAGCAAAATACTAAAGATCACATTTTACAGTAAATACAATTTGTGACAGAAAAACCTACACTTGTTTACAAAAAAGGGGATTATAATGAAACAACAAAAGGGTGAAGCATGGCAAGAGTATTTCTGAGTTCTGTGCCTTTCTCTTTAGTTTAATGTCTAGCCTTCAATAACTCACACAACATCCACAAACATACTGAAAAATTACAGTCCTTCATAAACAAAAGACAACAAGCAGCAACAAGCACTTTATAAAGGTTATGGCCTTATTGGTACGCTTAAGTAGAAGTGAGGAATCTAAAATAATCACAGCTCTGGTACTGATAAAATGTACCTTCTATTTTAATATTCCTTCTACTGCATGACCAAAGGCACACCTCAAATTCCTGTATAAACTTCATATAGAAAGCTTCATTTTATTAACACTTCTTTCCCTCCATTTGACTCACATGCATTTTAATTCTAGAGCAGTTTCTTCTATCTATTTTGGATATTTCTCTTAATAGCAAAAAGACTCGATCATGGAGATGTGGTAGGATAAATGTAATGTTGCAATGGAAGGATACAGGCTCTTTAAGAAGGACAAGAAAAGAAGACAAGAAAGGAGAGTTGTTCTTTGTGCGAGAGAGCAGCTGGAATGCGTGGAGCTCTGTGAGGGGATAGAAGAGGAGCTGATGGAAAACGTACAGATAACAGGAAGGGATTCTATAGGCACACTGCAAATAAAAGACAGACTAGGGACAACATGGGCCCTCTCCGGAAGCTCTCAGGAGAACTGGCTACCCTGGATTTGGAGAAGGCTGAGGTTCTCAATGACTTTTTTGCATCGGTCTTCACTGGCAAATGCTCTGACCAAACCACCCAAGTCTTGGAAGGCAGATGCAGGGACTGTGAGAATGAAGACCTGGGGCCCACTGTAGGAGAGGATCTGGTTCTAGACCATCTTAAGAACCTGAATGTGCACAAGTCCGTGGGACCTGATGAAACCCATCCGTGGGTCCTGAAGGAGCTGGCGAATGAAACTGCTAAGCCACTGTCCATCATATTGGAAAAACCATGGCAGTCAGGTGAAGTTCCCGACAACTGGAAAAAGGGCAATATAACCCCCATTTTCAAGAAGGGGAAAATGGATGACCCAGGGAACTACAGACCAGTCAGTCTCACCTCTGTGCCTGGCAAAATCTTGAAGCAGATTCTCCTGGAAGGCATGCTAAGGCACATGAAAAACAACAAGGTGCTTGGTGACAGCCAGCATGGCTTCACTAAGGGGAAATCCTGCCTGACCAATTTGGTGGCCTTCTATGATGGGGCTACAGAACTGATGGACAGGGGTAGAGCAGTTGATGTCATCTACCTGGACTTGTGTAAAGCGTTCAACACTGTCCCACACGACATCCTTGTCTCTAAATTGGAGAGACATCAATTTGATGGATGGACCACTTGGTGGATAAAGAACTGGCTGGATGGCCGCACACAGAGAGTTGCGGTCAATGGCTCAATGTCCAGCTGGAGACCAGTAATGAGTGTCGTCCCTCAGGGATCGGTGCTGGGACTGGTTCTGTTCGACATCTTTGTTGGTGACATGGACAGTGGGATTGAGTGCACCCTCAGCAAGTTTGCCGATGGCACCAAGCTGTGTGGTTCTGTTGATACGCTGGAGGGAAGGAATGCCATCCAGAGGGATCTTGACATGCTTGTGAGGTGGGCTGATGCCAACCTCATGGAGTTTAACCATGCCAAGTGCAAGGTCCTACACCTGGGTGGGAGCAATCCCAGGCACAGCTACAGGTTGGGCAGAGAAGAGATTCACAGCAGCCCTGCAGAGAAGGACCTGGGGGTGTTGGTCGATGAGAAAATGAACATGAGCCGACTTCAGTGTGTGCTTACAGCCCAGAAATCAAACCGTGTCCTGGGCTGCGTCAAAAGGAGCGTGACCAGCAGGTCGAAGGAGGTGATCCTGCCCCTCTACTCTGCTCTTGTGAGACCTCACTTGGAGTATTGTGTGCAGTTCTGGTGTCCTCAGCATAAGAAGGACATGGAACTGTTGGAACAAGTCCAGAGGAGGGCCACAAGGATGATCAGGGGACTGGAGCACCTCCTGTATGATGACAGGCTGAGAAAGTTGGGGCTGTTCAGCCTGGAGAAGAGAAGGCTGCGTGGAGACCTCATAGCAGCTTTCCAGTATCTGAAGGGGGCCTATAGGGATGCTGGGGAGGGACTCTTCATTAGGAACTGTAGTGACAGGACAAGGGGTAACAGGTTAAAACTTAAACAGGGTAAGCTTAGATTGGATATAAGGAGGAAATTCTTTACTGTAAGAGTGGTGAGGCATTGGAATTGGGTTGTCCAGGGAAGCTGTGAATGCTCCATCCCTGGCAGTGTTCAAGGCCAGGGTGGACAGAGCCTTGGGTGACATGGTATAGTGTGAGGTGTCCCTGCCCATGGCAGGGGTTTGGAACTAGATGATCTTAAGGTCCTTTCCAACCCTAACTATTGTATGATTCTATGATTATGTGTTAGGATTAAAGAGAGGACAGAGAAAGAGGAACATATAGTGAGAGTCCACCTGATCAGGAAGAACAAGTGGATGAACCTTCAACATTCTGATAGGAACAGCCTCATGCTTGCAGGTTCTGGTCCCCATGGAGGACTTCAAACACCTGATATTTTTTGGATGGACAATGCAGCCGGACATAAGCAAACCAGGAGGTCCTTGGAGTGCACTGATGATAATTTTCCCCTGAGATAAGGTGCTCTGGTGGACCCCATACCCACCAACAAGGAGGGTCTTGCTAAGGATATGAAAATCTTGGCTGCAGTGACCATGAGATGGTGGAGTTCAGAATCTGGAGGGCAGGGAAGAGCATGAAAAGCAAGCTCATAACCCTGGACTTCAGGAGAGCAGACTTCGTCCTCTTCAAGTGCCTGCTTGAAAGAGTCCCTTGGGATAAGGCCCTAGAGGAAAGAGGGGCCCAAGAATGCTGGTTAATATTCAAGGATCACCTCCTCCAAGCCCAACAGAGCTCCATCCTGCTGCTGTTTCTGTGCTGATGTACTGGACAAAGTGGAACTCCAGTGTGAACTTAAGTCAAAGGAACTCTGACCTGTGGATGAGTCCACATGGGAGCAGGACAGCCTGAAGCATCTGTGACCATGAATAAGTTCAAATCAGGTACATCTCGAAGCATCTGCATCTGTAGCTGTGGTTATGTCTGAGACACTATACCATAGCCATAAGAGACTTCCATGAAAGTCTCAGCAAGTTTTCACTAGCTGCAATGTTACCTTGTATTTGCTCTAGTAAATGTTGAGAATACTATAGAAAAATTAATTATAAGAAATAAGTATGGATTAACAAATGAGTTGATTCAGTTTCAATTAAACATGAGGCTAAGCAAGAATAGACATTACTGAAGTCAACTGGTCTGAAGAGTTCAAGTAAATTAACAAACAAGTGGAGCTTTTGTAGGAATGAACGGAATTCTTCCACACTAATTGGTTCAGTACAAGTTTTATCCAGACACTACTCTGCTTTCTCCATTCCTTAGTTTTCTAAAGCAGCCTTTATCTAGTACAGCTTCTGTTTCTACTAGGAATACCAACATCATCACCTAGCAGAATGCATGACTATCTAGTCTGGATCCCTAGTCAATGCATATCAATCCTGTGCAGCTTAAAATGAAGCATGCTTTACACTGTCTAGCCGTATGTTTCATGAGAATCCTATACATAGGTGTTGAAGGCAAGTACTATTGAAGGCAGTACCTTGTGTGTGGCATTTTGTGTAGCCTAATGTGTCCGTGCCCTTTGTGTGTGCGTGCATATGTGGGTGTCACTGGGATACATGTTTAACTTCACTACCTGTTGAACCTGCAAACAGGAAAGCAGTGGCCACATCCATCTGGGTCTCTGGACTGGGCTCCAGCAGCTGGGAAGGAGGAATCACCAGGCTCTGGATCTGCTGGAGATTGCAGCCACTTACAACTTTGCTTAACAGAAAATTTTGGCTTTGCAGGGACTAACTTACGAAAATAGTCTTCATTTAACTAAGAAATATATACAACTCACTTACGAAAAGTAAAGCAGTAATACATTGTTTCATTTTTAAATAATGGCAATTTGCAGGTTAAAATACATTCGTTATTAAGATACTTGATCTAGCTCTAAAATGGGAGACATGGGACATGAAAGAATTAACTTTTCAAATAACTGATGATTTACAAACAAAAATGAAGGTCCTGTTTGCTGGGCCTAGACATAGTATTTAAGTAGAGATTTAATGTTACCATTCACACATAGAAGAGATTTAGTTTTCTGGAGAAAATGCTTAAAACTGGTGCTTATAGTCAACAGAGCTAAAATTTAAGCACAAAATTGATTCTGCATAAAAACCTAACAGTCTCACTAACTAATATTGCCATGCTTTCTGGTGCCTCACAGCTGGGGCGAAAACAACCCTTTCACAAACTCAGAGAACACGACAGTAAAAGTGCTATTGCAAAGTAGGCAGTTGCAAAGAACCTAACAGCTCCCTTTATGCAGGAATTATAATTGCCTCATCCTGTTTTGTTTTGAAATAAAGTAACATCACTTGAAGAATTAATTTGTTAGAGAAAGCATTCCCACAGCTGTAACACCGGTATCAACACATTTTCAGCACTTATATTAATCCTAATCATCTCTCAGGTCTTACGATGAGACATGAAACAAAATGCAAGATCTGGAAATTTTTCAAGATTTAGTCATAAATCTACTCCATGGCTTAAAACAAGTTTAATTCAGATAGGTATGCTGTATGTCTCATATTGTGCCGTGGCTTGCCATCTTACACAGGAGAGAAAGACCCTGGAGCCCTTTATTCAAGTAATTTGACCACTTCTTCATCTGCTGCATATATCTGCTACACCTAGGGAATAGTCTGGCTCCCCATGTGCAGTGTTAACTGTTAAGACAAAATGATGCATTATTGGTATGGAGCATATAGAGTATGAATAAAACTCTATATAAGAAGCATGCTTTCGAAACTCACTGAATCCTGCGGTGAATTCCTTTAGCGTAAGTGAGCTATTTCCATCAGCATCCAATGTAACAAAAACTTTTTCAAGTTCTTCCAGGCTAAGAGGTAACTGACAATGCAGTCTCTGGAATGATGAAACATGCAGTGTCTTAACCCAGTTTATAGGATGAGAGAAAGAGTAGATTCTACAGAACATGCATAATACGAAAGGATAGGTCCTTTTGTTTCCCAGAGTACAAATTCAAATACACCACAGAGTAAAACAACATCAACTGAGCAAGAATTGCTTTTATGCAATGATTTTTTTGCAAAGCTCCAGGCTTGGGGAAAAGTGCCTGGAAAACTACTTGGTATAAAAGGATCTGGGGGTGCTGACTGATGGTCAGCTGAACAGGAGCCAGCAATGTGCCCAGGCAGCCAAGAAGGCCAACAGCATCCTGGCCTGTATCAGAAATAGTGTGGCCAGCAGGACAAGGGAAGTGATTTCACTGTATGGGGCACTAGTGAGGCTGCACCTCAAATACTGTGTTCAGTTCTGGGACCCTCACTACAGGAAAGGCATTGAGATGCTGGAGCAGGTCCAGAGAAGGGCAACAGAGCTGGTGAAGGATCTGGAGCACAACTCTGATGAGGAACAGCTGAGGAACTGGGGTTGTTTAGTCTGGGGAACAGAAGGCTCAGGGGAGATCTTATCACTTTCTTCAACTGCCTGTCAGGAGGATGGAGAGAAGGGGTTGGTCTCTTCTCCCAAGTCACAAGCAATAGGAGAAAAAGAAATGGCCTCAAGCTGCATCACTGGAGGTTTATATTGGGTATTAGGAAAAATTTTTTCACTGAAAGGGTGCTCAGGCATTGGAACAGGCTGCCAAGGGAAGTGGTGGAATCAGCATCCTTGGAAGTGTTCAAAACTCATACAGGTAAGGCCCTTAGTGACATGGTTAATGGTGGACTTGGCAGTCCTAGGCTTGGCTTGGCTTGGTTTGGCTTGATGATCTTAGAGGTCTTTTCCAACCTAGCTGATTCTATGATTCTATGACTTCACTATTTGCCTTTATGAATCCTTTACAACAAAGCAGTGAGAACAACCTCCTTGTAACACAGATTCTAATCACGCAGGGAAGGGTTAGGCCTTGAGGTGGAGTCTCAGCATCCTGGTCATGAGGTCAAGCAAGAGACTCTCTAAACGAGAATATTAAAGAGGGTATACTATCCTAATTCAAGCTGCTTCAAAATGTGTAAATAAATAAATAAAAACTAAGAAACCTGCACGGTTCAAGGAGCAAACCTGCTGCTCCTGTGACAAGTTAAATGTAGTTCATGACTGTCTACATCTGAAATTCATCATGCTTACACCAAAAAAGGCAAAACTTCACGAAACCACCCCACAAAACCACTTATTTTTTCCAAAGTATCTAAAAAAAAGGCATAAAAAACACCCCCTCCAACATTTTCTCTAAATCGGTCCCTAGTCGTCTTACTACAATTCTTTTAACAGCTATAGACAGATTTCCAGAAATATGAGAAAACTAGAGTAGCAAACAACTACAATAGCAAGAACTTCCACTGGGAGTCAAGCACTAGGAAGAGTAAAACCTTTCTTCATCTTGGGAAGCAATATAAATGCACACTGGTGAAGTCCTCTGCTTTATTAGCTAATATTTTAATGCCTTCTTTGAACATCTATGGTATATACAACATATTTAAATTACAAGCTAATAGGTTGATAAAGTTAATCAGAACAAAAGTGTTAATCTGTTCTGCTGTGGGAATGGATTTAGGACCAAAGAAAGTTTATCCTGCTATCCAAGAACAATAGAAACCACTATTCAATACACCAAGCTGTATATAGTCAAGGTAAGAATTGGCTGAATGCATTAACCATGACTTCCCTGGCTGCAGCAAAGAGTTTAGGGCATACATTATAAACCTGTATGAGCTGAATGGAGGAGCAGTGAAAGGAATTCCAAGGTAATCTTGAGAAGGGAAAGCAACAGAGCTTCTAAAGCACAGAACTATCTGGAATAGTCCCGAAGGGATTTCTGAGCAGGATTAATTGTGCATTGCTACATGCTTCCAAAAAAAAAACCTAAGAAAACTTGATGTATATTCAGTCTAAATAAATTACCTCATCAGCAATGCATCTGACTTATTGCCAGTTTCTCACTTAAACATACCCATCTTCCCAAAGCTGTAGATTTTTATCTCTTAGATCTAAAAACTTTAAAAAATTCACTTCTCTTCTAAAATTCTTACATGCTACAAGGTACTGATGAGGAAGGAGGTATTTCAGGCAAATTACTCTTTTTACACTATTTCAGTGTTCAAATTCTGAACTGAATTATACTAATTTAGCAGTAGAAAACACCAGAATTTTTTGCATTTTCTTGAAAAAATATGAAAATGGGAGATTTTTAAGATGTGCACACATTTTGCTCCATTAAATTCCCACTGGGTAATTTAAGGAGTTTGGTGAACTGGGGCCACACCACTATTACTGAGCCAATGTTTTGCCCAACCTCTTGTTTTTATTCTTCAAAAATTTACGTTTGTTTGTTCCGGGTTTATTCTTAGGAAAACAAAATGATATTGTTGGTCTCATATGTCTGTTTTTGTTTATTTGCTCATTTTGGCCTTACTGTAAAAGCACATAGATACTTCCAGTATGAAACTCTTAAAAATTAAAAAGAAATAAAACTTATTCAAAGATACCACTGCAGCTTAAACAGAAATTATCTACATTGCCACACAATGTGCTCTGTGCTTTCATGACGACTATGTTTACTTATCTGAAAATTCCAAGCTTTTACTCTGCAAAAGAAAAAGATAGAGGTCAAATGGCCAATTCTGCTACAATCATTAAAACATTTTGCAACACTAATCCTCATTAATCATCATGACCTCAAGGCCCAAACTGCAAAGATGTGGTTTCAAGTCTCAGGTAGAATTTGCCTTCTTGCAATCTCAGAAAACCTCTTGTTTGTTTGAAGGTTGAACACATTTGATATTTTGAAATTGAATGAAAAATTCCAAACAACCAGTATTAACATAATCTCAAAATAAACAGCATGATATAATCAGGGAAGAGTAAATTTTGATATAATTACTACGTTAGAGACATTATCAGAAAACAATGCAAAATCTGTTCCACTGGACTTAACTGTACTTTTAGATACTCGGCTCTGTCTGTTGAAATGCCTCATATCACATGACTAAAGATTAAAAAGCTTAATGTGAGCATATTGGATTTGAAGCAATGCTTCATTAGCGTTAAGTAGCACTAAACCAACAAACAGCAGGATGCAAAAGTGATCAATACTTTGTAAATTTTATGGAAAAAACTGATTTACTTTATTGACTTATGTTTTTGCTACAGAAAGTGAACATCATGGAAAATGCAATCAAAATTAACTGTACTGATTTCAAACTCAGGTTTGCAATACAGGGATTCTAGTTAACTAGTCATTCTAATCAAGCATAATGAATAACTAATAGTATATGTCTAATGTACAGTTGCTCAGTATAAAGCATTAAATATTTTCATAGAATCATAGAATGGTTTGGGGTGGAAGGGACCTTAAAAATCATCTATTCCCAACCCCCTGCCATGGCAGGGATACCTTCTACTAGACCAGGTTGCTCAAAGCCCTGTGCAACCTGGCCTTGAACACTGCCAGATACGGAATTTATTTTGCTACCACACCTCTATTTTATCCAGAAGTACTGAAGTAGAAATGGATTAACACAATGAAATTATGCTTTGCATGTCAAGCATGAGCATATTCTTGTTTTCTGCCACATACTGGTCCAAATCATCTTATCATTTCTGCAATAAGCACTGAATCTCATTTCCAAAGGTTTTATTATATAGTTGCTTTCCTACCAACGTTTTCAGCAAACCTGATTTTAGTCCCTCAAACATTTTAAGAACAATTTTGTAAGATTATTGTGAACATTGAATAATGTTAAAAGATTGTTCTTCTGTATTTCCTACATATATATCTGATAAAGCTGAGAGTCTGGTTTACACATTGTCTGTCAGTTGAAACCAAAATGAAAGACTTTATTTACACACTTTTGCTGAAAAAACAGAGGGATAAACTTTGTGGAAGGGGGCCTATAGGGATGCTGGGGAGGGACTCTTCATTAGGGACTGTAGTGATAGGACAAGGGGTAACGGGTTAAAACTTAAACAGGGGAAGTTTAGATTGGATATAAGGAGGAAATTCCTTCCTGTTAGGGTGGTGAGGCACTGGAGTGGGTTGCCCAGGGAGGTTGTGAATGCTCCATCCCTGGCAGTGTTCAAGACCAGGTTGGACGAGGCCTTGGGTGATATGGTTTAGTGTGAGGTGTCCCTGCCCATGGCAGGGGAATTGGAACTTGATGATCTTAAGGTCCTTTCCAACCCTAACTATTCTATGATTCTATGATTCTATGATTCATGATGCTGTGGCATATCTCAAAGTAATAAATTTACTGGAATTTCAACTTTTTCATTGAGAATGGAATTAAGTTCCTGAGGCATTTTTTCTTTGTTTCACTCACTTTGATTTTCCACATTTTTGTTGCTTTGACTGTGGAAACAAATGCAAGCATTATGTAAAAATTCAAAGAGAGTGTATTAAATGCTACATGTCAGGAGGGTGTTACAATTTTTATCTCTAAATTAAGCAGTCTCAACACATTAAAGGCATTGGGAGCTTCTCTTATTCTGCATTTCACATAGCCAGTTCTGTTTTACTGGCATGTCTTGACAAGTGATGAATCCTTTGCTTTCCAGATCACAAATCTGAAAGAACCCATATACTTTTCCTAACACAGTTAGTCCTGTGTCTTGTTCTCCAGGTGGCACAGAACTGGCATGTTCTCCTTGTATTCTGTCCATGGTCACAATTTCAACACAGAAATATTTTGGGACGCCGCCATCCCAGTTACTGATTTGAATTCAAATTCTGATCTGAAACCTGTGCATGGAAGGTATGGAAAAGAGCAAATCATACCCTCTTAATGATGCTTTGCAAAATCTCTTAGCAACCATCTCTTTATTTAGGCACTAGAGCTTAGAAGAATAAAAAGCTTTTTGAAAATGCCTACCCTTGATGGACTGCACTAAAAATGATGGAAATTGGATGATGAATGAGAAGGGGAAAGTCTGGGGAAAGGAGAAGACAAAATGAGCTCTGAAAAGGAATCTGAAAGCAAAATCAGCCAGTTTAACAAGAAATGTAGACAATCAATTACCACAAAGAAGAAGACACAAGAAATGAGGGCAAATAAAAAAGTGATTTAAAGTCACTACAAGTATCCAACTGATATTCTTTTGACTCGACCATTTTAACATCATGTATCACAATTTGCATCAAGCGCTTTGGCATACAGTTCATATGATAGCTATAGAATGGAAGGTAACCGATGACTGATGGAACCTAGTAGATAATAGTCTTTCAGTCAGTTAAGTAAAACCAAGAGTGAGATTCAGATAATTCGAATTATGGAATTCTGAAACATTTCCTTAGATTCATCCTTATTATTTAGGACTCTGACTTTCACCTGTGAAGAAGAATTAATTACTAGTGGATTTGGTGGGAAGACTTCATAAGTTAATCACATTCTAAACAACCTCCGTGAAAATCTGCATTATACTTCCTGCATGAAAATATTTTTATATATTCATTTCGTCTATAATTTGATCTTAAATTCACTCTGGGAGGTCAGATGTATGCAGCTTCCCCTCTCCAAACTTGTACAACACACAGTATCAATACGAATGGAGCAGGCTTTCCCAAAAGCCTATGGACTCAAAACCACTATTGACTAATTATGGGTTGCCATGCCTCACCTGATGCTTTGTAAGACTCTTTGTATGACCCTAACTCATAATCATCTGGGTAAACCAAGTAGAGGAACAGTCTATTTCACTGAAGTACTGTGTATTGCTGGCAGGCTAACATCTGTATAGTTACTAGGGCTCAGATGACATACGGCAACTTGGCTTTATATCTGCATCTTGAATTTGTATTTCTGTTTTTCTAAGTAGGTCAACCTAAAATAGCCACAAATTTGTCTGATAATTTTTAACAGAGAGAAGTATTTGTGGAGACATTTGACTATTATAAAGAACATCGCTGATTCTGAACCACATCCAGCATGACTGGCACAATCTGGAACAACTCCAATAGAGGCCAGTGAGAATTATTTGTATCTGAAATGTATGTTGCCATCAGAGTAGAGGCCTCGGCATTGTATGGATGTGAAGACAGAATCTAAGGAAAGAAGAAGTTTAGTTTGTCTACTCAGCCTCTTAAGGAGAAAAGGTTCTGATCACATAGACAGACTAATTCAGCCAGAGTCTGTTTTATTCTGTTCTCAAGTTCAAACCAGGCAGTGCTTTATACCTCTCAAAACAGCGTCTTCCAAGAACAACTTAGATGTACAGTTTGTCACGCTAGCAGCCTGCAGTGGCTTTCCATAAGAAAGTGATTTCTCCAGTAGCTATAGGTCAGGCTACTGGACTTCCTATGTTTCGTGTAAAGATAAAAGCACCATAAACAGGCCATTAACTTCAAACCAGACTAAGATTTTGATGAGCAAAGCACCAACCCCTTCTGAAACCACCTGGCAAAAATCTGCAAACACAGCTAAATTTTCCTCACTCTCCCTTGCTCTCTGTTGCAACTCTGATCATCCCAGGACTGTTGTTTAAACACTTTTCAAAGCTGAAATATTTTTGGCTTAATGACCAAAGAACTTAACTGTAAAAACCTTCGTAAAGAAGAGTTGCAAGCAGCAGAAATAACAACACTGGCTACACCCAATACCATCCCACTTTGGGAAACTCCTCAGAATGGGTCTTACTCAATTTTAATATATAGGAGCCAGGGGTGCTTTATAAACCCCGAAATCAGCTATTCGAGCAGCCTGCGCACAGCTTGCAGCGCCGGGTATTGCTCACTGCCGTGGAGGTTGAGCCCTCTGCTGGGGATCTCCACGCTCTGCACCCCAAAAGGCTCCGATGCCCGCCGGAGCACCCGTGGCGGCTGCCAAGGAGGCCCTGGAAAAATGCTGTCACAGGTAATATGTCACAGATAATACGTCACAGGTCAGGCATAACAAGGTGCATTTCGCTATTACAGCAGCCCGAACAACTGTATTCTTTCTCTCACAAGGAAAACGGCTAGCTCAGAAAGTCTGACCAACCATCAGTAGCTGGGAAGATAGACGAAGGAAATGATCACTCCTTAACTGCCCTGTTTCTTAATCCCTTTCCTGATGTTTCCAACATTAGACAGTCCAAAACCAGTATATGAGCTATCCGAGTCTTTGTTGTGACTCTATAGCCACCCACGAATGGATCATGGGGAAATGCCAGTGCAGGACACATTTACACAACAGTAGTATGATACAGACTGGATGAAATTATCCTTCCATACTGCTTTTACACACCTCAATTTCACTTACATCAATATAGCTCATTATTGACTGATACCAGTGTATGAGGTAATAAAGATCAGGGAATCAGTTTCAACTTTGCAGTGACACTGACTTAAAAAGAGGTTTAAAAATACCAAAACCAGTGGGACAAGTGCAGCTTAAAGATGGTCTTGATAAGATTTGACCCAGACTCAAAGCATATTGGATGGTTTTGTTTTTTTCTTTTCTTTTTCATATTTGAACAATTTCTCAAAAGGCCACAACTGCAGTAACAGGCCAAGGTAATCACGACAGTAAGGGGTGCTAGTGCCTGTGGGCTCTGCACAGTTACTTCCTTAAGAAAAAAGGAAAAAGAAACCCAACTGTACAAGTAATAGGCATTCAACTGCATGTGAAAGAACAGAAATATGAAAACAGAGTAAAAACAGTGGAACAAAAAGGTACTATATACAGTTTGATAATGGTACAGATACAAGTCATAAAATGTCACCAGGATTTCTGAATATTTCCATGGCAAACAATGAAATTATGTGCATCACAGCAGCCTCACCCTCTTACACATTGGCCTGCTTTTTATACACATAAAACCCCCCTGCTACACAGCATCCTGAATAAAGGAGAAAATTAAGTAAGAGCATACACTAAAATTCTTAATCCTTATGGCTGCTTCCAAAGCTGGTACAGTTCATCATAATTTCGAGAGTGTCCTGATACTTTGTGCATGCTGGTAATAGCATGAAAGAATAAAACTGCAATTTGCTGTACGTTACTGGATCAGCAACGTAATTATTCTAAGGCCAATTTTAAATAATAGGTAGTTCCATTCTCTTGTCCATCTCCTTTAGAAATCAAATGGCTTACAAAGTCAAAAGAATATTCTATTCTATTAAGACCTTTAATTTCCCTTCTTTTAGCTACCAACAAATACTTTACTATGCAAAACCATAGCATGACCTGCTGTAAACAAGCATAGCTCCAAACAATATTGAACAAGGATGTGGACTTTCTGAGATTTTTACAGATGAGTAATCATGAAGCATATTTGGACTGGTCTGCAAAAGGCAGGTCATCGTTAGCATTTCAAATGACATTTTCACTATGATTTTCCAGTCAGGTGTACTGTACGTCGCCAAACACTAGATGTACAGGGCACTGCTGATCCACAGATTTTGTAAGTAAGTCATTACCTGTGACAACCCCACTCTTCCTAACTGTGACAGTTAAAAACTTACAGGTTTTACCTGCATTCATGTCTCTGAGTTTCTAGGTTTCAGTAAAACACTTTCGTGGCACCTGTCTGTAGCTACAAGCTTTTTGCAGCACACTTCAAAACAGGAATCATTTGCAGAAAAAAATGTAGTAAACTTACTTAATACTGAGATCACCATGGATTATACAAAGTACTCTTACGAGAGAGAACATTTATGTTTTACAAACAGTGGAAAATAAAAATTAAGAGTGTGTACTTTTGCCACAAGAAATATTTTTTCCTACTACCAAATAATCCTTTGTTAAAGTAACCTGCTGTAAAGTTCTGTAGTGTGACTGACACATGAACAAGGACCTCTTCAGAACTTAGTGTCAGTTAGTTATCTTTTAGCATTATGCTGAAACACTGTTAAAGCTGTTTAAATATAGCACTATAATTATTTTAAGTTGGCACAAGTCTGCTAAAAAAGTCATTCTGTTCCCTATTACTGTGCCCTGCAATTGCAGAAGTGTTTATCTAGTTAGACAGTGAACCCTGCTGTAGAATCCTTTCAATTTAGTCTGGAAAGTTTTATTTTATTTAGCTCAACTGAGGCCAAGTGGCCCGTCAAAGAAACACATAAAAGAAAAATAAAGAATCAAAAAAAGATCTGCTGGAGAAGGTGCATAGAAGGACCACAGAAATGGTCAGAGAGATGAAGCACCTCTCCTATGAGGAAATGATAAGAGAGCTGGGGTTGTTCAGCCTGGAGAAGACTCTGGGGAGACTTTATTGTGGCCTTTCAGTTCTTAAGAAAGATGTGGGAAGACTTTTTATCAGAGCTTGTTGCAACAGGATGAGGGGTGATGGTTTTAAACTAAAAGAGGCTGGATGTGAGCTAAAAACTCTTTACAATGAGGGTGGTGAAATGCGGACTCAGATTCCCCAGAGAGGTGGTAGATGCACCATCCCTGGAGACATTCAAGGCCAGGTTGGATGTGTTTCTTGGCAACCTGACTAGTTGCTTATGTCCCTGCTCATTGAAGAGGTTTGAACTAGACGACCTTTGAAGGTCACTTCCAACCCAAACTATTCTATGATTTTATGATTCTATGATAATGGGACTGCTAAGATCAAAGACAGCACAGTAACAATTCCCAAATGCATTTTGCTAGATACAGGTTTGTATACTCCCTGTGCACATAATGCAGTCCACAAGAAGTAACACTCTTGTGTTGTAACATGGCAGAGAAGCTAGACATGGAAAACCACCCTATGACAAAGAAAGTAGATCACAACCACTGACTGCAAAGGTAATGTATGCGACAGAACAGACCAAACACAGATCTGAGAATAATAGCATAATTAATATTTCCTTGAGAACTATTAATAGCTCAGTGGACCACGAAGTTACTTTAAGACATTAAAAAAATATTTTAATGACAATTCAAGGTAAAAATGCAGG